ATACCCAAAAGGCTCAAGATCCGTCCTAACAGGTTCTCCTATTATAGCCTTACGAACAAAGTAATATGCTAATAAATGAAAGAAAATAAATAATGAACTAAAAATTAAATTAATTATTAACTATTTATAAACCTTGCTGCTGCAGCTACTTTTTGTAAGTGTACCAGTAAGCAATACATAATAAAAACAAAATTAAATGGACTAAAATCCGAAATACTAACCAAAACCTGACCTGAATCAAGTTTTTTTAGTAATATCGAGTAGAGCAAATAATTATATCAACTGATTTAAATAATAATTGGTACATTAAAACAACCAAAAAGGACCTTAAAAACCTTAAAACTGTTTTAAATTTTTAACGAAATAAAATTTTCTGGTACTGTAAAATTACGACAAGTTTGGAGTTGCAATTGTGATGTTCCACATACGCAGCCACGCACTGTCTCGTCGATATTTCGTCCTTAGCATCCTTTAATTCACTCTTAATTCCTCCGACTCATCCTCGTCCCCTCTTATCGACGAGTTATGGCCCGGTGCGTCCCCATCGCATCTAGGGGACGGTTCTCTCCGGTCTGCATTCTTCCAGTTTGCGCGCGCTGCAGCCGCCGCCACCGCCGCCGCCGCCGTCGGTCTCCGCTGCAGTTGCACCGGCGTGCGTGTCGCCTACGCACGTTAGTTCCGTGGCAGATCGCGTGCGTGCGTGTTCCGGTCGCGTGCTGCCGCCCCCGCTGAAAGCGTGTCGCCGCCTCCAGGAAGCGAGTTCGGAGGATGCCAGGATGCAGTCGGTGCTTGCTAGGTGCGTATCTCTCCCCGACGATCCTTTAATCCTTAAAGCCCGGCTGAAGAAATCGCGATGTTCAAGCAGGGATTACCAACTTTGGCTGGATAGTCCTTATTTTAGCTATCTGTATTTCGCAGGAGCGCAGGGATTTTGCAACTAACTCACATCCTTAGCCAGTAAGCCACCTAGAGATAGTTTGCGGTCACTGTTGTAAGCGCTAATTCGAACAAGGGTTCGATTGGGGGCGAACGTGCTCTAAAAAATTCAAAGTGTGTGATTTTCAAAATTTTTTTATAAATAATAATAAAAGTAGAGCGGTTGTGCGAAAAGTAGTGTTTTATCGGAACGGGGAGTAGACAAAAATCCACAGTGCGTGAATAATACGGCGGTTGTGGTGGTTAGGGTGGTGCGAAAAGATCGTTGAGTATTTTTAGCGGAACGTTTGGAGAATGTAAAACGCATCGTTGAAATTTCCCGGTTTTATGCTGTTTACCGGATTCTGTGCGCTAATTAACTGCCAGTGAATTCCGGTGAGAGAGAATTTGGATAATCGTATGTTAACGGGAGCTGCGGGGTTGGCTTGATTTTTTGTGGTTGGGATAAGATTTTTATGGAAGATTCTTGTGGCGAATAAATTTTGCTTAAAATTATATTTTTTTAAGTAAAAAGTTTGCTATATTTTTGAGAGTTCTAAATAGGAAGAGTCAAAAATTTATAAGTCAAACTTGAGACAAAATAAAATCAATAACTCCGGGAACTTTTTAAAGTTGAGGTTTAGTGTTGTTTTGTTATAAATTATGTGCCACTACAAAGCTGTTTAATTATTTATTAATTTGAATTATTTTTTAATTTTAAATGTATGATCATTAATTAAAACTGCAACTTTATACAATATTGACGTTAAACTTAAAATAGTATTAAATCTATTTTAATGTTTTAATTAAACCTCGTCCACCAGTAAAAAGTAAGCGTTCGTTCAGTAAAAAATGAAGTGTGAGCCCTATTAAATAAAATACGGCACTGTACGCGTTAAACGAAATAAATGAAACAATATTTTCTTAATAAAGTCTCCTCATATGTACCTAATACGGAAAAAATATATTGAACTTTAATATTGCAGAATTTTGTGATCGAGGTAAAATTACGTACAGAAAATCTTGAGACAAAAATTATTACTTTAGTATTCAAAATTCGCCAATATTACTCGTAAATCTTTTAAAATTATTTAATAACCGAAGTATTATTTATTTTCTTGAAAACCCTGATAATTTTACCTGTCTAAATTTTTACGTAAAGTAAAATGTACTTTGCGCCTTAATTAATGAAACTTTATATATTTGTTTTAGGAATAGCTTAATCTTCTGAAATGTTAAGACACTTTTTTTTTTCGACTGTTTTGAATTTTTAAATTTTATGACTAGCGACACTAAAAATATCAGGACATACCGAAACACAAAAAAAATAAGTAATAAAGAAAAAACATAAAGTTATTAAAGCAGTGATGATACATTTATCTGTTGTCATTATGAACAAGCAAATGTTAACTGATGTTATTTAATGCCTTATTAAGTGCTAGAATCGTACAGAGAATTTTAAACACTATGTTGTCTAATTTGGCAAGATTTTAAAATAAACTTAATTTTTAAAACAACTTTTATATCCAAAGATATAAATAATTTGATCGTAAAACGATAGGAACGCAGTGTAACACAGTTATGAAATGCAATTAACGACGTGGTATTTTGAGATAACTTCATTAATTTTGTTGAGAAATAAATACATACATTTCTCTCAGAATTTTGCAGTGGTCGGTTTTGAACATCATTTAATAAATTTTCAACGAAGAGAGACAAACGGTAGACATGCACACGAACCAATGGAAAACCTGTATTGTCGTAATCTACAAGTTTTGAAACACAAAAAATACTTTAGGTTAACCCAGGTATTTGGTATACTGTTTTCATAAAACTCTACTCTTATTGGTGCTTTTAAAAAGATTTTCTTAACATCGCTAATTATCCCATCGACATCTGGATAATTCAGTCTAATTTTTTCAGACACTAAATTTAACCCATGTGCCATACGTGTTAAGTGTGTTATATTTTCATAAAACACCTTCAAATTAGTACCAGTTTTGATCATATATCAAGCACCATCTGATACAAACCATTTAATTTTTTTGTGTTCAGTTCCTTTTGGCCACAATAAAGCTACAAATTAACAATTAAATAAATCATAATAATTTCAATGCTTAAAATTATTAATAGCACACCCAATGATTCGTTTATAAATTTCGAGATTGTGTTGCTATTAGTTTTATCAAGCTGCTTCAAAGCTAGTAGAAATGGAAGTCCAGCTTCTTTAGAAGATAACTTTCCAATTACTAAATGGGCTCTGTATCTTCCTAATCTGTCCGTCGTCTCATCGACGCTAATCCGAATATTATTATTGCCAATAGAATTTCTAATTTGTTTAATTACCTGTAAATTATAAAATTGTTATTAAAAAGTTTTTAAATAAAAATTCTAGTGCTCACCATATCGTAATCTTTTGGTAAATAATTTTTTCTCAGAGTGCTTTCTGAGGGTAAATGCCTTCCTGTATATTTATGCCAAAAATCATTGTCGCAACTAATGTTTAATAAAGTCTGTTTACTGGATTTATTCTCGTTCTTTTTGTGTGCATCGCCACTGCAGTGTTGTTCAAAGTGTGATTTTTTTTCGCACTTAAACTAGGAAACAAAAATGTGAACATAATTCAAGCTTCAGTATTTTAAATGTTTACTTACAACTTTTCCACACGCTTTACAGAATAACTCATTGTCTTTGAAGAAAATTGAAAATTACTGTCGAAATTATTCCCTAACCATAATTTGATTTTATCTTTCATGGATGATTTTACCTTAGGCATTTTGAGGATTCTTTACTGTAGCACAAAAATCAAAACCGTCCCCAGCACACTCACTAACACGCAAAGACACTCAGTATCACTAACAATAAACTTATAAAAAAAAAACCTTTTTCAGAGATTCCATTAAACTCAAGGGCGTTATTTACAACCCATTTTTCAACAATCTGCCAGCCAAAGCAATGAATTCACGGAAAATCTCTATTGTGTAAGCATGTCCGCTTCGTTGGTCGTGGAATCCTATTTTAAGCCTTTTAAAATTTACAATTAGGTCGTTTAGTTAACACTTTAGGTCTCTAACGGTAAATTAGGCATTTTAGGTAGTAAAAAACGGGCGTTAAATAAACAGATTTTTTTTTAACTCAGAGAAATATATAAATTTCGCTGCAATGCCTGAAGTAGATATAAAAAGCCAAAAACCCTAAGATCCGAAGCCTAACCATCATATAAAATGTCCCAATACAGTAGTAACTCTAGCTATAAGTGGAAAATAAAAATTAGTTATTTTAATTGCATATTTGCTCCAATATATCTCGATTATGCTGTGCTGATATGATGAATGTACACAGCGTAAATTAGGTTATTGAAACTGGTAAAAAGTAACATTTTATTGTGATAGAGTATGATCTAAATCCGTATCAAATCTGTTGTAGAGTGATTTCTAAAAACTGTTTATACAACGTTGCTATTGTACGTATCAGATTGTTGAAAAACCGCATTTTTATTAGTTGTTTATATTTCAATATTCTCAAACTTTGGTTCGGATCAAGTCTAACATTATTATAACTTTTGAAAATATCATAAATTAACTCAAAACGCTTTAAATTTGATGATGTTATATTTTCTATCTATTTTTTTTTTTTTAATATAAAAACGAAACGAAACTTAAAGCTAATTAGTTTAAAGTGGTGACATGACAATGACAAAAATATTACACAATAAATATTACGAATAAAAGCAACTTAGTAGAGTTATATACTTTTATAAATTGAAAATATTAAATACCAGTCACAGTGCAAGAAAAAAAGGGGACCAATGAGGGGTTCGAACCCGCGACTTTCGCGTTATTACCACACTTTGTGACGAACTGCGCTATGACCCAAAACGTTACACAATTTTGATTTTTTTTTTAAAGAAAATCTGGACGCCTTAGATAACAACTCAAGTAAGATTTATAAACCCTAAATACAGGATTAATTCGAGTATATTATTTTATAAAATTTATATAGCATTTACCACGCAAAATTGAAACATGTATTACAAGACTACGTTTTTACTTTTGCGTTACTGTAATTTTCCCTTTTTCTTTCAGGGCTAATCGTCCGTTCGGTCTACCGCAACTAAAAAAACGTAAACTAGACGACACTACTACTACCATGGCCACCGTATCGAAGATCTTCCCAAAGTCCCTCGACCCCACCGACGAGAAACGCCGCAAGAAGACTGACGACCTCGACCAGACAACAAAATCACTCATTCTACCTCAAAAGAAGCGCGTTCTGCCGTCTTCGTCAGCAGCCAGCCCGGTGAAAAAATGCCAAAAGCTCTTACCCAACACCTCTTCAGACGAAGGAGCCGCCGCTGACGAAACACTGATCCGCGAAACCGAAGCGGCTCTGAAAAACCTTTCTGGCAGTTGGCCAGGACCCAGAGGATCTTCATACCAGAAGAAACAGGACGAATCTCCAGCCTTCGAGAACCTCTTCGACGAGAAGAAGAGCGTGAAATTGTCGCCGTCGTCGTCGAGTAATGGGAGTAATGATATTTGCTCGTTGAAAGATGTGATTACGCTGAGGGAGCAACACGAAGAGGAAGAAATAAGGAGCAAGTTGAGGATTAAGCAGGAAGATGACGGCAAGGTGAAGATAAAACACGAAACGTCGCATTATGAGCCGCCTGATTTTAATGAATTGGTGGATGATTCGTCGAATGAATTGGAGATTGATATGTCGGAGGCGGCGGCGGAGAAGAACGACGATAAGAAGGAGAAGAAGAGTGAATGTGATGACAAAACAGGTGAGTAGATAAAAATTAATGTTTATATTTTTGCATTAAAGACTGTGGTACGGTAAAACAATATTAAACAGTGATCAAGTGACTATAATTATTTCCTACAGACGATCTCTCCATCAATTTGTGTGTTCAGGCCACATTAAGCGAACGTACTCAATTAACCTATTAAATTATTACATATTAACATTTATTATAACTGAGGAATGGATAACTTGCAGACATTTTTAGTACAATCTATAAAGCTAAAATCTTATTAAAGAACAACTAGGATGCGGGATAGATAACTTTTTTTTTTAAGTCGGTCCATAAGAAACTATACCGAGTGTCTGGAAAATGGCGAATTAACGCTTCGGTACGTTATGTATGGGAGTTTCGGGAGTCCCAAAAAATAATAAAAAAGCTCTTTACGGTGTAGATTACGAAAAAAACGTACTTTCTGATTACTTAGTAACAATGGTGATTGAAATCCACATTTTTAGGACAATAACTATAATAAACCAAAAAAAAAAACGTTTAATAAGATCTTTATAAATTATAAACACAAACAACACCAACGATAGAAAAATTTATCTAAATACTAGGGAAGATGTTCAAAATTCTTGCCTTTTGCATATAAGTAAGCTCGTAATGTTTTCAAATTTTGATCATTTTTCTAAAAGTTAAGTCATCAGTATTTGTTAAGACAAAACTGATTTTGGCAGATGACATATCCTGTAAGATAAACGAGGGCGGGTGGGCGGGGCTAGTACCTGCTAAGATAAAACTGATTTTGGCAAATAACATACCCTCTAAGAAAAGCGAGGGTGGGTGGGTGGTAATAGTAGCGAAGAATTAAACCACCGTTGTCCAGACACCCGATGTAATTGAATTTTTTGTTAATTTTTTGCGTTACCCTAATTTGCTGACTCCGATTTTTGTGCCATTAAGATATTTCGCCCAAATTAAATTTTGATCATTTGATATTTTGCTAGAACTATAAGACAATAGTTAGTAATAAGAAAAAGTATAAAGATATTATAAAAAAGACGACTGAAGTAAGACAACTTCGTAAAATAGATTCCACTAAAACTTGGAAGCATTATAAAAAGTAACCACTCAGGAAACTTACCGTTGATTTTTGTTACAAAAGTTGTATTTCTTATGCTCTAAGAGTAGTAAAAAAATTATGAAAGAAACTTAATTCACATTTGAAAAACAGTTCTGAAAATATCGTTTCATTCAGTCATCGGTTTACGTAATACATAAACTAAGTGAAACTTTTTTTCTGATGCATTATTGTTAATTTATAACTAAACTGAGTTACAAAAAAAATGACGCACTAGAAAAAAGTGGTGTTACGTGTTACTGAATTAAAAAAGAAAATATTATTTTGGCCTTAGTATTATATTTAATTAGTAAAGCGTAGTTTATATCAAAATAATGACTATTAACAACCTAAATGTTAAACTAAAAAAACGAATCAAAAAGTTAATAACCATAAACAAGTGTAATGTAAATGTTAGCGTTTAGAGAACGTCCCTGGATAATAAGAAGCTTTAAGTTTCTTGTTCTGAAAATACGACTACGTATATTAAGAGAAAAGGACCAAATATAAGCCCCGCCCACCCACCCTATCTCAATTGTGACGATTTTTTTTTAATCGTCGAGAGCCAAAGGAACGAAATTTAATTGCAGAATACTTGTTATTTCTCTACAAGAAATTAACATATAAAACATGTTTTTAGTGTCGTGTTCTTCTAAGAATACTATGTACATATATTAAGAAAAAATTAAAACCGAACCTCAGCCATAAGTGCCCTGATCTAAATACTAATGAAGTTTTTATTCGTTGGCAGACCTAGGGGCGGACACTAATTCCAAAATCCATATTTCCTTACAAAAATTTGCCATTTTAAACGTGTTTTAAGTTTCTAATAATCAAAAAATCGTTACAATTGCGATGGGGTGGGTGGGCGGGGTCTATATTTTGCTTTTTGCTATATATACATAGTATTCTTTGAACAACACGATGTTCAAAAACATGTTTTTAATTTCTTGGAAAGAAATAAGTATTTTCCAGTTAATCTCCGCCTCCTTGGATCACGGCGAATAAAAAAAATCATCACAATTGAGATAGGGCGGGTGGGCGCTTCGCCTCATAATTGCAAAATCGATATTTCCTTGCAAAAATGTACCATTTTAAACATGTTTTAAGTTTTTTGTTGTGAAAAGATGACTACACATATTAAGAAAAAAAGGCAAAATATAAGCCCCGCCCGCCCGCCCTATCTCAATTGTGACGATTTTTTTATTCGTCGTGAGCCAAGGGGGCGGAGCTTAATTGCAAAATCCTTATTTCTCTACAAGAAGTAACAGACATATTTTTGAGTATCGCGTCGTTCAAAGAATATTAAAAAAAAAACAAGCCAAAAATTAAGCCTCACTCATATCCAACCCAAGCTTAATTGTGATAAATTTTTCATTCGTTGTCAGACCGAGAGGCAGAACCTAAAATGAATACTTTCCTACAAAAATTTACCATTTCAGACATGTTTTAAATTTCTTGTTGTTGAAATAAGTCTATACATATGTATTAAGAAAAAAAGGCAAAAAAGCTTCTCTACAAAATTTCAAAAAAGTGAAGTGCGCCACTTTTTTGTAACTCAGTGTATATTTTCTCAGTATGGTAGCAGACTACATCAATAATTAAAAATGTAAAAATGCCAACATTTAGACTTAGACTTACGGTGTATCTTACTACACTTACGTAGTAGACGATCCCTGAAGAAGCCGTCAAGTAGAGATAAAAACGCTGAACCGGAGAGTTTAAAATGTAGTTTAGCTTTATCTAGATAATGCCAACGAGGTTCGAAAGACGCGTCCATAAATATTTCGTGTGTTCCATTGTTGTAAGGATAAACCGAATGATCAAAAATATTCCATAAAAGTATCATGTCAAAATCCAGATCTACATTCTTAAGATCTAGCTCCAGTTAAATCTAATACTGAAAAAACTAAGTCTAGCAGGGCTAACGTTAACGTTAGCTGTTCAATAAGACTACACAAACATCTATTAATATTTCAAGAATAATGCCACTTAACTCCACTAGTTTTACACCAATCACTATTCTACAGATAAATAAAAATATGGTAAAGAAAAATAAGCAGTAGCTTTACTAACAGCACTGATCCATTCTATCTAACTAACACAGCTGTATAATCAAATAAGCGTGGATACTTTCAGTGAAAAAACGGAATAGTTGGGATCTTTCCAAAAATTAAACTTCCACCTACGTTCCGTTTTTCTTACCCCTAAATCCCTGACGATGTCTTGTACGAAAATAGATGAAACGTCGAAAATATTTTTCAAAATTTACACAGCGAGAAGACGTCTTTTCTGTTAACCAGCTCTACTCTGTGCAAGCTTTGGATTCTGCTTTTCGAAAATTCTATTTTAATTTACTATATATTGTACAACATTTAAAATTTAGCCTAGGGTTTAACCACAATAAAAATATTTCAAATTTTTTCAGTTTCCACTGCAATTTAATGAATGTATGTGTTGTGTTAATGTGCTCATTAAATCTTTATCAATTAGAAAACAGAATGTACACGAGAATTATTTTTGATAACATAAGTGTTTGTAGAAGTTCCGCAGGATTTTGCTTTTTTTCTTCAAACATATTTCCAAAGGAATGCTAATTTTAAAATTAGTGAATTAACTATTCAGAATTAACTCCCCATAATTCTTAAACGATAACGAAGACTAACCTACTTGTCCCCTGTCCAACATTCAAAGAAAAACTTTTATGAAAATATTTAGACAAAACTAAAACAGAATCGATGCAGAAAGAAGAAATATCTTAGCCACATTAGAACTGTCTCTCTTTCGCTCCACATTTTGTGTCAATTTTTTTATTCCGGGGTGAACAGGTTGCCTTGTGTGCAATCAATTATTATTAGTTTCAACATTCCACCTAATTGTTCTCTGATTACTGTTCAAAATTCAACTTAACAACAACAACATATTTTTGGTTGTGATTTCATCTGTCCGGCTTACACGATTAAATTGTTGAGGATAACAATACATCTTCTCTATCTTCGTCGCTCATGTATGTGGTTATCAATTTACCCTGTTTTTAACAAAAAAGGGTGTGTGATTTTAAGTTAATGCCGCTTTTCTTTTTAATTGGTAATTATAAGCTTGATTTTTTTCTCACTTTCAGACCTCTAAACATTTATTTCAACCTAATATTATAAATTTCAGAAACAAAATTTTAGATCAGTCACTATTTTTAAGGATTTAGCCTCACATTGTGACGGTAATCACATTATTTAAAAAAATAAATAGGTAGTTAAATCTGTACTAAAAAGTTCTGTGCAAATAACTCAGATTCTCATATCCACAAAAATATCTACTCCCACTTTAGTAATACTACCGAGATTGATATCGGTTCGAATCAATAAATTCATAATCAAAAAACACACCAAGAAATTCCCCTTAAAACTAAATTTAGTACAAATTACGCCATCTAAAAACACCAGGTCTCATTATTTCAACCCTTGTATCTAATACCTGTAAAAATTTCTCCACAAACCGATAGTCCACACCAAATGATCATTAAAATCTTATTCACCCTTTAAATAATTCATCCACCCCAATATAGCGACTTTAGCAAATCGATTTCTAATAGTGTCCAGTTCCTCGTAATGACAACGCCGAGCTACTTATTATTCCAATTGCGCAAACCTGAAAAACGTAATTTTCGTTATTTGAGGTCCCCTCCCTGCTGAAGCGACATTCGTCGGATACCCGCTCTCCGGCGACGAAAAGAGCAAAGCGAAAGAGGTGGAAAAATCTCCGGAAGAGGTTAGCAAACAGTATACGATACTGCAGCCGGCGGCGGCGGGCTCGAGGGCAGCCAATGCGCTCCAGGAGGTGGCAAGAGAGGGAGTGCCCAGCGTAGCGGCGGTGGCCAACGAACCCAAGATGGTCACGCCAACTGGAACGTTATCGCCCAACAGTATAGGGAGAGGTGAGTCCACATTTTAAATGCGCGCTTTAAGGGCGATTTTTGTACGAGCTTTTTTTTTCCAAGAGCAAGCTAAATTTTTACCGTGAATATCAACGTCATTTTTGGATTGTTGTAAATATTGTTTTAACTAAATTGTTATTCGACCATTCTCAATCTTAATAAAAGTGAATACTTTGATTGTTACCATTATAACAACCAAACTAATACCACAATTGTGACTCTTGTAACAAAAAATTTTAAATATCTTTTTTCGCTATATAGTAGTTGTTTTTTTTTTAATTTCTGAATTCATTTTCGGTGGCTAACAGCTATATTAGTATCCAGATCCATTTTCGTCAAGACCTATTTCGCACTTTCCAAATTTTTAGCGCCCAAACACGACTTATTTTTGGCGAGCAAAATCGATAGGCATCTACGAAATTTTTGCTAGTTTTTTATAGCTTTCTACGAAGAAATTTTATTAGTAATTGCAACGAAACTAATTTCAAGAAATAATCGTTCCAGGTGTACCATAGGCACTAACCAAAGATTTGAAGCATGTTATGATTTCAAAACAAAAGTCTCAATTTTTATTTTAAGACAATCTTATTGACTTAATTAATCCATTAATAATTATTTCATTTATTAGAATGTTTTGTTGGAACTTGTTTTAATTAAACGAAAAAACATCTTTGCCTGCAGATATTTTATTAATTAAGACGTCACATTAATTAATGCATCGCCAATATTTATTAGCAAAGCTGCTTTCAACGAAAAAAGTCGACAAATTTTGTAAATTTAAAATTAAGAAGTTACCTTGACAAAGTCCGTCATTATCAGTGCGGCTACCTAGTTTTCTAACTAAAGTTTCGGGAGCAAAGTACTTAAAAGTATTTGGCATTTTTTTATAATTCTCAAAGACAGAAAGTTTAACCAACTTTTGATTACATGTCTGGGAAGTTAGAAAGTTCACTTAAATTAGAAAGTCTGCGTGAAATTCAACTCATAAATAGTATTTTAAAAATCGGAAGCAAACTTTTCCTTCTGTGGAAGCTCCCATTAACATTTCGGTCGTAGTAAGACGAAGGTCGGTCGTACCGTTGTAACGATGTTTTTAGAAACACATGTTACATTAGTTGATAGTTAAGTGTTATTAATGTGAACTTTGTCATCTTCGGGTTAAAGCCATAGTAAAGTTAACGTTAATGCGATAATGTTGTCGAATGATTCGTCGGCCCATAATCTTCGCGTTCATATCTGCGAATCGCCCTTTGAATAGAATTTCTTGGCAAGGACCTACTTTTACGACTCCGCATCCACCTTCCCATGTGCTAATAAATTACCCCCTGATACATAATGATCCGCAAGTCCCTCAAAGTTGTAATTGGGACCCCCGGAAATTCTCTTGGCACGTAGCTGTCACCTGGCTCTCCGGCGCCATCTAAAGACGCAAGCAGCATTATGGGTTTACTTGATACAAGTTATAAGCTGGCATGTCAGCGACAGCGACGTGACTCGCCTCGGAACGGCCTCGTCGCCCCCAACCCTTTAAAACATAAATAATTACCAACACATCGCCAATGATGGCCGAAGCGGATTTTTTCTCTCGCCACCTGATTTAAGGAGCGTTTTTGATCGATTCCGGGCGGAAGAGCCGCCGTCCAACCCGGGGGTGGTGCGTTGGCGGCGGCAGTTCGCAGGTGCGGTGACCGAGTCCGCGCGCACCCGCAGCGCCCTCCATTCACGGCTGCGGTTTCTTTTTTCCGAAAAAAACATTTTTACGCTGAGTCTCCACCCGTTATCCGGGATAGGCTAATCGACCCACCGGGGCGGAGTTTTATGGAAGATGTACACAAGGAGCGCGTCCTTCTCTTTTAATTTAAGAGCGACGGGAGATGGCCAACGTCGGAAGGACGACGGCGGCACGACGGACACGAATGCGTTTATTAACGAGCGGGTGGAAATGGGTCGGGCGGGATGGACAAAATGCAGCGGGGGTGGTGAGGACCACCGAGACGTCTATTAAATCGAGGTGCAACAATGCACCCGAAATAAACTAGATTCGCACAAAATACGCCGAGGACTGGGTTTACGAGTCGAACAAAAATGGTGGATGCGCCGGGAAAATTTTACTTCAACCTAGAATATAATATTCAGAACTCTCAAACTGAATTTTTTTTTTCTGAAACTCATACTAAATAAATGTATACCTAGATACTAATAGAGAAAAATATTTGTGATTTTACTGATTACTCTTTATCAACATTTGTGATGTTTTGCGGCTCTGGGTCAAATTCCTCTTGATCATGCATAAGAGATACCAGCAGTCTCCCCTGGCGACTAAGTTTGTCTTGGTTCATATGTATAATTGCGACATTATTTTCACCTTTTGCCGTTATTACTGATTATTACCGATTCCAAAGCTGTAAACTTGAAAACACGTTGTCAAGTTTATTTTTATCTAATTAGTTGAACGCTATTTCTAGACTTTTAATCAGTCGCTAATCGTTTGCATAGCTTTACTAAAATAATTGCCGTGTATTTTACTAGCACTAAAGCCTTTTATTAACCCGTAAGTGAAATATGGAGCTGTTATTTGGTCCCCAAGACACAAGTTTTATACGGAGCGTATCGCAAACTTTCATCAAATTATTTACTGTAAAGCCAAACATCCGTTTTAAGTATTCGGGATTAGTATAAAAAAATTGTGTACTGTTGTTATTTTTTTGTCGAATTTTTGCTATTATTTTGTTGTTTTGAGTTTGGATCAACGAGAATTACTGTAATTCACACGAAATACGTTAAAACAATAAAACGAATGACTGGTTACAAATAACATTAATGACAAGTGAGAATAACACCCTTAGAATCATTTATAAAATCCCAGTAGATTGATCTAGTGTACCTAGATATAATTATTTTTTCAATCGCCTATTAATATAAGAAATTTTACTTTAATATTGTCAATTTGACATTCATAACCGTTTGTCAAGTAGAAACGCTACAGAAAGAAAATGATACGCTAAGAAAAAAGTTAGAATGTTAAAAATTAGTAACAAAAAATTAAGCCAGAATTTATACTTGCAAAAAGTGTGTAATGCAAATTTAAGGAAAAATTTAGCAAATATATTAACAAAGGATTAAATTGAGGCTCTAAAAGGGAAAAATTAAAAAAATGTTCCGAGAAAATAATCACTAAATCTTTGAAACTTAAATTTGGATGTGGGACCAGTGGATATAACTTATTAAGAAAAATGAAATTACCATTTCCAGCTATTCCAACATTGAATTTTCATTTACAAAATTTAGAGTTTAAATCTGGAGTTTTGGATGAAATTATAGGGTTTTTGAAAATTAAATGTGAATCGCTTAAACAGGATTTTGGGAGAGATTGTATGGTGGCATTGGACGAAATGGATATAAAAGCTGGAATTGATTATCGTGTACATAGTGGGACGTATATGGGGGGAATTACTTTACCAAAACATGAGGGAGTAGCGACAAAAGCGTTGGTAATTCTTGTGGGAGGTCTTACTACTCTCTGGAAACAAATTCTTTCATACTATTTTACTGGAAACAGTATGAATGGGGCAGTTCTACCTTATGATCTTAAAAAATGTTTAAGAAAATCAGTGCAATTGGTTTGACGGTTCATTCTGTAACCACAGATATGGGATCGGCGAATCAAGCTATGTGGAAAACAAAACTTTGTACAATTGCACAGATTACGTTGTTAAAAGCTTGACAACAAATCAAAATTTTTGCAAAAAATGTATTGTTGCTTTGGTCTCTAAGAAGAATTGTAATGAAAATTATGCAAAATTTGTGGCCTTAAAAGAATATAAAATTGGTGCTTTACACTACGATTCAGAGAACGCGTTCCAAATAGCAATTTTAGTAGAGCAAATATTTTGCAATTTGAGAGATTGTTTAAAGATTTTTTTTTACGTCTTTATTTATTTATTTATCCAAAGTGGCGAAGTTTAGCCGCAGGCTATTCCACCACTTAACCACCCAACAATACAACAAAATACAGATTTCTGAGAAGTTATTAACATATGTAAATTATGATATACATGTGTATAATTATAGGTAATTATTAAAAAAAATATATATATTCTGTTTAAATAATAAATATCTAAAAATAAATTTTTTAAACAAAGCCAAATTATAGCATTTTGCTACTTGGTCAATGCTATTATACAAGGTGATGGCATTGTAAGAATAACTGCTGCAAAACATGGATGTAGAATGTTTAGGTAACAAAAATAACTTACGCCTTGGGTTGCTTCTAGTGGACAATTTTTTGAGAATTTTTAGACAACTTTTCGCAGACCAAAATTTTTCAATATGAAAATTATGGAATTTGTTGACCTTCTTTCAGGTAATATCAGTTTTTTGATTTTTTTTCTCAAATATTGCATTTCAAAGCGAATAATTGCGCCGACACCATAAAAGCGTTATATTCTTAGAATCAGCACGTCAAAATCTATATCCTAGAATTTTTTAAAAATTATTAGACTACTTTTTTCAAACCAAAATTTTTCAATATGAAAATTTTAGAATTTTTTTGACCATCTTCGAAACTTAATTAAAGTCATTTTTTTTTTGCTAATATTTTTCCAGAAATATGAGTTTTTTTGGATTTTTTTTTTTTCAAAAACTGCATTTCAAAGCGAACAATTCTCAAATCTTGCGCCGACACCATAAAAGTGTCTTTTTTTCGTACATTTCGAACTCCAGAAGTCACTTGCGACCTCATTTCTCCGATAACTGCTACTATTTTTCCAGACATATGAGTTTTTTCGTTTTTTTTTTTTTCATAAATTGCATTTCAAAGAGAATAATTCTCAAATCTTGCGCCGACACCATAAAAGCGCTATATTTTTGGAATCAGCGCGTCGAAATCTATATCCCAGAATTTTTTTTTTAATTTTAGACTAGTTTTTTCAAACCAAAATTTTTCAATATGAAAATTTTGGAATTTTTTGACCATCTTCGAAACTTAATTAAATCCATTTTTCGTACATTTCGAACTCCAGAAGTCACTTGCGACCTCATTTCTCCGATAACTGCTACTATTTTTCCAGAAATATGAGTTTTTTGGATTTTTTTTTCAAAAATTGCATTTCAAACCGTGTAATTCTTAAATCTCGCCCGGACACCATAAAGGTGCTGCATTTGTGGAATCAACACGTCGACATCTATATCCCAGAATTTTTTGAGAATTTTTAGACAACTTCTTTAGTATCAAAATTTTTTATTACGAAAATTTTGGAATCCGTCACGATCACATTCGAAACTCAACTAAAGACATTTTCTTGTACACTTCGACTTCAAGAAGTTATTTTCAGCCTCATTTTTTTCAGAACCCCTACCATTTTTCCAGAAACGCCCATATGACAGCATTTTTGCTGCTTTTTAAATTGCATTTCGAACTGAATAATTCTCAGAATTTGCCCCGACTACTTAAAAGCGGTTTTTTTCGGAATCACCACGTCGAAAAACATATTCCAGAATTTTTTGTTAATTTTTTGACAACTCTTTGCAAACCAAAATTTTTCAATATGAAAATTATGGAATTTGTTGACCATCTTTCATGTTTTTGTATATTTGGAACTCCAGAAGTTACTTGCGACCTCATCTCTCGGATAAATGTTACCATTTTTCCAGAATTGCCCATCAAAATATAAGTTTTTTGAATTTGTTTTCAAAAATTGCATTTCAAATCTAATAATTCTCAAATCTTGCGCCGACAGCATAAAAGCGCTATATTTTAGGAATCAGCACGTCGAGATCTATATCTCAGAATTGTTTAAGAATGTCTAGATAACTTTTCGCAGACCAAAATTTTTCAATATGAAAAATTTTTTTTTTATTTTTTTATTTTTATTTATTTGCTTTAAATTTCGTAATGTAATATATTTTGGTTTTTGTATCGGCGAACAAATTTTTAATTCAGCAAATACCAGTCTGTGGTCTGATATGGCGTCTGCATTTTTCGTACCTTTGTTCAAGACTAAATTCGGTTTGTTCAAAAAAATATGGTCACCCAAAGTCGCTGATGTAGCAGTGACTCTAGTAGCTTCATCGATAATTTGAAACATGTCAAAATTAGACATAGGGTCATTTAGCACATTAGTAATATTTAATAGATCAATGTTAAGATTACCTACAATTGCAACTATATCGTACTCTGGTATTGCTTGGGAGAAAATATCTTCTACTAAGTTAATAGTATTCATTAAATTACCTTGCCTTTTTCTGTACCGCACCACGACTTAACTTATTTCTAATTTTAGTACATTGCAGCTAAATTTGTAGTATGCCATTCCTCAGTTCGACAATTAAATATGCTTCGATCTGTTATTTCTTTTATATAATAGGTAGAGCAATATTTCATTCTTTTTTGACAGTATTGAAGCTATAGCAAACTACCATTTTTTGTAAACATACATAATAATCAGTGTTTTTTTAATATCTAGCACATCTTAGAACGGGGGTAGTAGTAATTACGCAATATTCAACAATAATGTAATGTTCGTGACATAAAAGTACACAAGAATTAATTATTGCAATTAAAACGAAGATCATTAATCGATTATTAAACGTTAAATGGTGAAAAACCGACGCAAGTGGCTTTATTAATAATGAAAACTGTAATAAATACGCTTGGCAGAAATGCAGCTTTAAACGTTGGGGGAACTAATATGACGTTTTATTAACCCTTCGGTAAGCAATCGGAACAAAACGGATTTGCATGTATTACGCAGTGCATTTGTTTTACAGAACGTACGAAAATGGTGGATGCGCCGGGAAATTTATTAATTATTTATTAAATGTATGAAGTTAATTTAAACAGTGTAATTAGATAACTATAATAAATAAAACAAATTAAATATATTAAATTAAATTCATAATAGTTCACGTGGATCTGTGGTTGTAAAAATGTTAATTAAGTGCATATTTCTTTGAGTACAAGGTAGCAATTATAACAGTTCTGAAAAACGAATAATGAAAAGTACAAAAATAATTTAATTGTTTGTAGTTAAAATTTTCGGCAAAAGTACTGTAATATTTTTAACAGGCTAAACAAAAATCAACTGGTGTGGTTTTGAAATAGGTGAACATACACATTTTTTAGTATCCTACTCACCATACATTTATTTTTATTTAAACATAATATTAACTCTTTTCAAAAACACAACACTTCCCACATCACTCTAAGAACTAGAGTTATATTTAGTAGATAATTGCAGACGTATTATTTTAGGACCAAAGGCCAAGGTTTGTACAAAGTCCGTCTCAAAATGCAAATAATGTTAGCAAGTCTTCATTAAGCCATTATTGCAAAGCAGATTTACATCACTAATGCACCCAACTAATGGCACATCACATTAAAATAATGGAAGGTTCTACAGCACTTAGAAAAATAAAGCAACGTTGAAAGTAACTTGACTTGTTTAAGTGTATTAGATTGTCAGTGATCATATTAAATGTATATTATGTTACTAATGTAGATTTTATTTGTTGTGAACCTACTATAAGTATGTTACATTATAGTTTTCATGCTATTTTGCAAAATCGCACTTCGAGTACCCAAAATTTAATTTAAATCAAAAACAAAGCTTCCAAGTTTATTTTGTAAATTTCAATCTTGTAAGTATCAAAACGTTACACAGTCAGATATGTTTACGCCTTGGCGAAATAAAAATTCATCACTTAAACGTTTTCATCAACAATGCAATTTATACACCGAACACGCTCTCATAATGGCCTACTATATAAGTTTCGACACAAAAGTATTTCTTCTACGAAATCCCGCAAATTCATCTTAAATGGAAAAGTCCGAAAATAAAATTAATTGAGGGAAACAAAACCGGCTTTTAAGTGTAGTACGAATCGTTAGATGATTTTTTTTACAGAAGGAAGTAAATGTCCAACACCAGGCTGCACCGGCCAGGGCCACGTGACGGGCTTATACTCCCACCACCGAAGGTAAACCCATTCCAGTGATCTCTTTTCACAACCGGTAAAGCTAACATTTATTTTTATCAATGTAGTCTATCTGGATGTCCGCGTAAAGATAAAGTAACTCCAGAAAGTAAGTTTCATTGAATGTAGACGTCCACAAAACAACCAGACTGTGCAAAAGCCAAACAGCTGCGGCCATTTCCTCTCTTTCCTATTATTTACAACAACTCTTTGTCCGTTTCGCAAAAATAACGTAACCGATAAATTTAATGCCAGTCTGGTCGTTGCCAAGTTGCCACCACTGCTTTTTCATTATCTCGTCCATTTTTTTTTATTTTACGGGGTAGAGAGCATCACTTTTGTTTCTTTTCTTGCAATGTGTAGTTGGTAGCGCATCCCCATTCCCTACCCTTTCGCCAGATATGTTTATTGAGTATAACAAGGAACATGTGTGTGTTTGCTCCAAATTTTTGGTTTTTTACTCTCTACCCTAACGTTTGTTTTGGTTATTTGATGTAGACACACACATTGTTGCTTTGATTATACTCAGTATTGTTCTGGTGCAGTCCTGGCCATGCACGAGACAATCCTCAAGTGTCCCACCCCGGGCTGCAACGGCAGAGGACACGTTAGCTCCAACCGGAACTCGCACCGGAGCCTTTCCGGCTGCCCCATCGCCGCGGCCAATAAACAGGCCGCACGTGAACAAAAATACCAAAACGCCTTGCACAGAATCAGATCGCCGCACACGACAGCGTTCGGTGAGTGCTCACCGAAAACTGCTTACTAAATTGTTATCTACTCAAAAAAATATACAATTACCGGTTTTCTAATTTTGCTACTTTGAAGACGATTTTACGGTGGTTGACCGGTGCGGAAAATAGCACTACTGACATAATTTACTTTTAATCATCTAACTTGTCACACGCAAGGTTTATATTGAAATTCTTTAGATACCTCAATTCTATTCTTTATCGCTGCGTTACAACAACGTATTTTTTGCAAATACTTTTGAATTTATTATTTGATCCCTGTTCCTTCGGCACATTAGATCTTTGAAATAGATTGTCCACGTCATCTGTTTACCTTGCCCACGTTCCAGTCGGTACTTTGAAAGAAGCCACAGCTGCTTTAGTGTTTTTTTAGTTTCCCTTGTTTTATATTTTAAATGCTTTCTACCCAGGTCGTATATAGAAAATGACTGTTAAATTCTTCGAAAAAAGTAAAACTATCGCATCAAAAATTGCTAGTCAACACTGTAATTTAGTTTTATTTTTACAACTATTTCACAGTCATGCTTATATATCGTAACACATTAACACAAAGTTGATTAGATTCGAACTTTACAAATGCTGGATATAACAATAAGGACTTTCTCAATTCTAGGTGTTCCCTGTCAAAGCGAGTTCGGCTCCCGCACTCCAACCTCCGAAGACGTCAAACCTGGCTACCTAATTAGCTATCAACACCCCGAACAAGACGCCAAATCGTACGAACAGTTCTACAACAAGACCAACCCGAACCTAAAAGCCGACATGATGAAAGTACCCAAAACGGAAATAAGCCAAAGCAGCTGTTGCAACGTATCCGGCCAGACGGAACTACTGGTACCAAAAACCGAACTGACGGGTACGTGTAGGTCGCCACCTTCCAACATGCGAAATGCGTACGAACCGTACTTGAACCAAGACTCAAATTCCTCGTCCATGTCCAGTATGGACACCATTAACTCCAGAGCACCCCAGCATCAAATTCATCACATGACCCCCCACCAAAATCCACAGTCAGGGTATCCCATGGACCACCAAATGTCCCAACGATCGCCTTACCACCAGTCGCCTATGTCGGAAGAAATGTACCACAGGTGGGTGAACATTATTACCATTACAGACAGTTTGGTGTAAACGATGGTTTTTGTTGTTTAGATCGGACCGATCCTACACGGACATGACTGACTCAATGGGAGGTATTCCAAGACCTGTAGTGACATATTCCAATGAAATAGCCTCAAGGTCTTACGATTCTTCTATGGTCAATTCAGCTAGTCACAGACCGTACGACCCAGGTACTGCTACAGCATTTGAAAGATATGACGGACAATGCGTTACGATGCAACAAGGACTAGCACCACCACGAGTCCCACCACAAGGAATTTATGGGTACGGTTCACTAGAAGAACAACAAGACCAAAGGTACCAGCAGGAAGCAGTAGCGGTTCAGCATCATCAAATAGGAGTGAACGGGTCACAGGGACTGATAAAGACTGAAACGGGTCAAGAGTCAACGGGCCCTTTATATCCAAGGTAAATATATTATTTGGAATATATATATAGAACAAATATGAAGAGAGTGCTTTCATTCTGTCATTAATATCCGTGCGTGTGACTGACGCTTCGTTAAGAATTCGCATAATGTAACGCTGTCGGCTTTTCCAGACCTATGTACCAATACGACGCCTCCGGCGGTCCACCCCTGCCTCTCGGCTTTTCCGCAATTAACTTGTCCGTAAAATGTGTAACAACGGCCCAAGCCCAAATGAAAGTGGCCGGTCCCCACACGTCGCCCGGCGGCACAGTCATCGACCTGTCGACGTCGAGCGTCACAACGACAAGCCCACAGGTCCGTCTCCGGTCATTTCTTGTTCATGAATAATGATGGTGCGGTTTGCAGGTGGCCTACAGTTCACCGCACTACGGCGGTCAGCGAGTGGGCGGTAGTCCGCAGGCCGCCGCCAGCCCTCATCTTTCGGCTAGTCCTCAGGTGCCCAGTCCGCAGGGTCAAACTCTGGACTTGAGCGTCAGCCGGTTATCGCACAGGTATATCCAAGCAGTTGATTGCAATCGCGGCTCGATCCACTCGACCCATGGTGACAGAGGGTGTTGTGGTACGGGATAGTGGACAAGGGCAAGAGGGAGTTGGAAATTAAAATTCTTAAAAAATTTTACTGAAAGACTTGTTAATGGTGAATTTATAAAACCATAGTTTGAAAGCTCTCTAAACTTAGTCGGTAATGATAAAAGCGGAAATTAATCTCCACGTGTAGGTGTCTCCATGTTGCTTCACATTCGAGAAACTAGATATAAAGCGCGCTCGACAAAAATCGTCCTCTAGTTGATCGACCATCTTTTTAGGAACATCAGACGAGAAGAACAGCTTGCTCGTCCAACACCAGCTAGAGAGCGATTTTTGTTTACTTTTAGAGTAAAAATCGCTAAAAAGTGTGAGATCGACGTGTGAAAAATGTAGTTTAGTGACTAAATTTTAAAAATTACGTCTTCCTCTATCATTCGAAACCGTACCGTAGGTCACGTCAGGTTAACGCTTCCACAAACTAAAACCCGATTTATACAATTTCCAACCCTTACCCTTCTCCACAACGAGGTAAAACGAATTTTTGGAAGTCGTGACCGTCGCGATTTTTGTTAGCAGCGACGCAAGTCCGCAATACCAGAATGGTCACGGCGAGGGTGTTCCGGTACCGGCAGGGTTCATCGGGCCCCGCGACGAGCAAACAGAACCTGTCGATTTTTCAACTGCAAATGAACCCGTTAATTTCAGTGGCGTACGGCCCGTTGCGACTTTCGCCGGTCCAGTACTGGCTCCTGGCTCAGGATACAGCCGAGAATCCACTCCAGACAGCGGGGGATCGCACTACATGGACGCTTACAGAGACCCTGCAGGTAACGTAGACTTCAGCAAAAAACTAGACGTAATAAATTCTTTGATAGTTGTTACTACTTATAATCGACAATTCCAAAAGAGATAAATTTTTGATAATCAGAGCATCCACGGTGAATGTAGTCTAAAATTTTAATCATGCTTTCACAAACAATTTTTTGGCTAATGTACCAGTGCAAACAGACATTGAGAACGTAATTCTATAACCGGTTTAAAACTTTCCTGGGCTAAAGGATACCAAAATGTGATATGAAGCAATTATCTCCAGTTTTTGACAGTGAGAGCTCAAAAGGATAACTAAAAATTTTGCGCTAACTATAGCACAGTTTCCGTTAATAGTATGTTGACATTTTTATTCCACTAAAAATTTAAACCCATTATGATTTAGAAATTTTGTAACAGTAAAGACACAATGTAGCGTGTAACAAAAAAAAATACAATCAAAGAACTCTGCAAGGTGCAAATACGAGGACAATGACGCTGTTAAGAACCAAAGTACCCACAAATGCTATTTGCAACTATGGGAGCAGTAGAGGAATGTCATTCAACTACAGCTTTTGCGGCAATTCCTAACTATACATTAAATGTCTCAGCTCTCTGCATAAGTTACACAAATTGTTTAACTTCCTTGCTGATCACATTTTGCGCAAGGTCTAGCACAAAACAGTCAAATTAGGGGAGCTATTCTCACATCTGGTAACTCAATCAAGCGTTTTAGTACATACATTTTAATTTCATAAAATAATCGACGCAAAAACTCAAACCTTGAAAGTCGAAGATGGTAAAAACATTCGAGAAACTATTTTTGTTCCAAATATTGTAGGTTACGGTCCCATGAGCCCTCATCCAGGTTATGGGATGACAAGCGTCGCCAGCGACTACACCTCCAACCCTTACACGCCTTACCCTACCAGTGGCTATTCATGTGCCAGTGGTTATCCGGGCTCTGTGACAACAGGGTATCCGGCCCCGCCTGGAGGCTACTCACCAGGTCCCTGCTACTCGATGCCACCTCCTCAGCACACAATGTCCCAGCACGACAAACCACCGAACAAAGATGCGAGGTGAGTACTATGTGCCAACTGCAGCTGCGCTCAAAAGACAAGGGTTTCTCGGTGTATATAATGGCGGTTTTTGGTGGCAGTTCGCGTCGGCCTATCTACAACGGAGTACGTCCCTGTGCTAGGGGCAGGGACGGTAAGGAGCTGATTCAGTGCCCGACCATTAGCTGTGATGGCATGGGACACGTGTCTGGCAACTACGCCACCCACAGAAGGCAAGCATTCACTGTAGAGCTACATACGTGTCGATCCCTTTCCGCTGGGCTATGCTCATACCGAACTTGTATGCGAGTATTTTCTTTCATACACAGACATGCTACAACGGAAAATCTCAATATACTCGTATACACGTTTTAAAAATATCTCGGCAACAATTATTGAAAATTTAAGAACACACGGTATTAGCAAAGCCTATCTACCTGTTCCCGCTTAGTAGCTAAACTTCTCTACTCGCAAATCCAAAAATGCCGTCTGTGACCATGTCTGAACAATTGGCTAAAACTGAGTCAGGTCCTTGTTGTATCGGTGCGTTCACTCTTAAAATTTGAATGGAACGTGAACCCAAACTAACTGTGAAAGTCGTTGTTTAACCCAGAAGTAAATATGTCAATATGTCTGTACAATTGCAGCTTATCTGGCTGCCCGAGAGCCGATCGTAGCCAAATCCAGGCACACTCTCAGGAATTGAAATGCCCGACCCCGGGTTGTGACGGTTCCGGACACGTCACCGGAAACTACTCATCACACCGGAGCCTATCTGGGTGTCCGAGGGCGAACAAACCGAAGAGTAAACCCCGCGATGGCCAAGATAGCGAACCGTTAAGGTTGGTGACTGAGTGTGTTGACGTTAAAGGTTGAGGTTGTATTTTTCGACTAACACGGTATCATTATTTCACGCTATCAGATGTCCTATTCCGGGTTGCGACGGGTCTGGACATGCGACCGGAAAATTCTTGTCACACAGAAGGTAATTTCAGTGTTTCGTGACTAACCTGGGTGTGCACGTTGTGTGTTGGTAGCCGATAACAAAAAAGATACACATTAAGAAAAATATTTTCTAAACACTGAAATGTTACTGCAATCGGGGGGTTTCACAAATTGCATAAATCATATAACGTTCAAACTTTCAAAACTTATAAAGATGATCTTCAGTTGTTTTGCAATATTTCAAATTTTAGAATTGCAAATGCAAATCGTTGATGAAGAACATCTTTAGAGACAATTTCGAGTTTATTTTTTATTTTTTTATAGCGCATCGGGTTGTCCCATTGCCAACAGAAACAAAATGCGAGTCTTGGAAAGCGGAGGTTCGGTTGAACAGCACAAAGCAGCGGTAGCAGCGGCCACAGCGATGAAATTCGAGGGAGTTAACTGTCCCACACCAGGATGCGACGGCACGGGACATATTAACGGTTCCTTTCTCACACATCGTTCGCTGAGTGGATGTCCCGTGGCGGGACAAACCATCAAGAAATCGAAATATCCAGAGGAGATGCCATTCTACGCCAAAGGATACACAGGTGAGTAGCCAAAGCGTAGTTTGCAAGGTACTCTTTGACATTATTATTTTACAAGTAAAACGAGATACTATCTAAACTAGCTTTGGTTCTGTATTTTTATGCTTTTATATTTTTAGATTTTTGATTTTCCCAATGGTCTAGCAGCGGAAGATTACGCATTCCCCATGAATTATTAAAAACAATCTGTGAGAACTTATTTGAGGCTAATTTAAAACTATTTTCAAATAAACAAGGTGAATAGATTAAGAGTTAGAATATTTGATTTTCAAACTGATATCTCAAGGTGAACTTTTTTTGTCAACAAATTTAAACAAATTCACATAAATAAATTTAAAACTGAAGGTTACTAAAAAAAGTTACAAATACTGTTGGCAATAGAATTAGTCAATTGTCACAAACATGGTATGACAGGTCTACCAATTTCAAGCAAGTGAAACAGCTGTATTTTGAAAACTATTTACGAAAAAGCCCTATATTTTATTTCACAGAGTTCTAAAACTGTAAAAGTATACATAGTAATAATTTAGTTGTAAATTGTAACCCTAAATGAGTTCTAATAGTCCCCGAGAAAAGCGCAATTTTCCGCCGCCAGGTCGTTCGGATATCCTGCATATATAGACCACCTTCAAGATCACAGATAAAAATATGAACCAAGTAGCAACTTTCTGTTTAAAACTCACTTTATTTGACTTTGTAAAATTCAGATGAGATTAAACTACTTTCTTTTTGCCTAGAATGGTGCTACACTTACTGAAGACACAAGAGCAAGTTAACCCGGTCCCGTCTTTTATTCTTCCTTGTTTAAACACGAATGGATGTAAGAAACGATTCAAAAAGAATTCATTATCTCGAAATCTGTGTTGTTTAAAACGCACTTTAAATGTTGTTTTCACAAATTTTACAAAGTGAAATAAGATAAAGAAAATTCAGTACAAAAGAAGCTATTATTTAAACGTTAAGATGTTTATAGGTATGGAACAGTCGAATAACGGCGAAGATCTGATGACTCTGGAAGCTGAAATAACAGAGCTTCAGAGAGAGAATGCTCGAGTTGAATCGCAGATGATCAAGCTTAAATCCGATATTAATGCCATGGAAAATCACCTCAACAACGGAGAAAAGGTAATTCATTTTTCATGATTAGCCTAAAATTTGATTAGAACATTGTTCAATATACACAATATTTGTTTAAAGAGTATATACAGGATGACATCGACTAGATATTTTAACCTACCGCTCGCCGGACAACCGTGAAAAGAAAATCAATAATTTTATCAGGAGAAAGTATAAAATTTAAAAACAACATACTGACTAAGATGATCAGTATCATTCGAAAAAGCTTAAGTAAATGGCAGAATACAATGAAAGCCACTATATCGCATATTTGCTTTACTAACCAGACGTTGAAAGGTTTCTACTTTGTTTGCGTCGACAGTACTCTGAAACTGATTACTGTCCGCCGATGTCGGTAAGTTAGATATTTATTATGTCGATTTAACTCTGTATATTTACTAGTCCAAAGGGCGGCAAGGCTTAACTTTGAACCTTTTGTTGTTACTTCTAGGCAGATATATAAATATTACAATGTTTGATTAAATTGAAATCCCTGCTTCCTTGCCCTTACATTTCATCGAAAATAAAACTAGTGGACCTCAAACTGTTGTGTATATGACAGCTAAGTAAAGTACAGTCGGAATAAGAATGAAATTGGCGTCCGCACCTAACACATAGTTTCATATCCACCAGCGTTATCATAAAAAAGCAAAAGGACTACACTAACACTTTCCCACCAGGAAACTCAAGCGCTCAGTCAGCGCACCAACAACCTGAACGAATACTACGAAAGCTTGAGGAACAACGTGATTACATTATTGGAACACGTCCGGTTGCCCGGAAGCGGTCCGGCGCCGGAAAAAATCGGACAGGAAAATTTCGATTCGTATTTGAGCAAATTGCAAACGCTCTGCACGCCAGAAGGATATTGTAGTGACGAAAATAGGCCCCTATACGAGACTGTCAAATGTGCGTTGCAAGACTTTACGGTACTACCAACGCCCATTTAAGTGTTGTTCGGTCGCTACTAATAGTTCCGGAAGTGTTTACGGTGCCAGCTATTTGCCAGGTCTGATACGTAAGTGCTAAAGACACTATGAACAACAGTAAAGCAACAAAATAATTCTGAATAAGTTGACCCGTTCTAACCTGATATGACTTGGCTAAAATAGGAATTGAAGTAATACACGCCTGTAAAGTAGTTAAGTCTAAATTTTGCGTCTCGTGTGGCCAGCCTTTACTGATAGGCCTGCCAGTTTTCGCTTAGAAAATGATAAACGAAGCGGCAAAGGCTGATACTGGAAACTTATCCGGTGAAGTACGTCGCGTTCACTAAGCTAAAGTCATTTGTACGTAATTATAAATTGTGATCTACTGTAAATAGGGCTCATTTGTATAGAAGATGATCCAATACTAGCTGCATACGGTGTACATTTCTGACAACTGTACATATAATTATAAAATACAGATACGATACTATCATTGTAAAAACGTCTACTCATTTTCTAGTTTTAGATTCCGGCATTGTTTTCGTCAACACTCTTCTTATTTGTTAACTGTACAAACCTTATAGATTTTATCTCATTAGTAGAAATCTATATTTTAATAAATCGCTTTAATATTCGTAGCGTTAAAGACATCGTTTTATTCGTTTTTTTAGATTATCTGTGATTATACGTTACGTAATATTGTTTACATTTAGGCTCTAGTGTTATTTGTAAAACTATATTATGATGTGCAATACGCAGTAAAAAACGTCTCGATGCGAGACTTTTTTACTTCCCTCTCCTATCGTGATTAATTCATTCGCAGTGTTCAGTCATATTTCCCTTATTATTTATTATTACCGATTCCGAAAAAATAATTAAAGGAAAAATGTTTTTTACTGTGCTGTTTACCGAATTGTTGTGTAATGTGTAAATAAAACGAATGAGTATAACCATTCTCATCATTAAATAATTATTTGTTCACACCAAATATCTATGTTAATATACATGTGTTGTTATTATAAAATAAAATCTTTAAAAAGTATCATGCTGATTTTATTTTCGAAAAACAGAATCCTTTTCTTCGCAGTGAGCATCTTCTAATGTGGAACAGTAGGTGGCGCATGCTGTTCTTCCGTTGCAATAAATATTGTTTTAAAGTGCATATGACATCGGAAATATCTTGCTAGGTACATCATAAATTGAATAAAAACTTTTCATTTCACATAATTCATGGTAAGTATACCAACATAAACAAAATAATGGGTCAACACAGCTCCAGAATAAATTCAAATCTTTACGAATAAACATCGATTTTTTGTTTTCGACTATATTTCAGAATCCAGTTTGAAAACTTAGAAAGTTATTATTCTGTTTTTGCATAGTTCAAACTAAAAAATAAAAAATACTCAAGATGAACTCAATTTTTTTTATTTAATTTAAAGTCTACAAAAGTATTGTAAAAGGATCCATTTGACTTAAAGTTAATTTCACGATTTTTAGACGTTCCCGAACTCACACTTCTGGCTGTCTGTCGTCTCTCTAGCCATTGGCGACTATATGATATAAGGTAAGTAAGTAATCTTTGAAAGTACTGATAAAACTCTAACTAAATTTTGTGTTTACATTGGCAAAAATGTTAAATAGTGGTATCTTTAAATTTTGTTAAGTTCCATTTCGATTGAACGTAAGAAGTGAAGGAATTGAGATTAGTAGGGTAGTTTAATGTTTCTGTTTTGTTTACGTCAAAAAGATATTATGAAGTCTTTAATTGCTCATTTTTCTGTTTCTAGTATGGGGTTGATATTGATTGGAATTATAACTTTAAATTATTTCATGTACTAATAATATACAGGGTGATTTCGAAATAACTCATCAACTCCAACAAAGTAATTTTTCTTCCGCTAAGTACAATATGTCTTGTATTATTTTAAATATCTTCCCTGGCACAAAATTCGATCTAGCGTTGTTTACTTTATCCAGGAGTTCGTCGAAAATCGCAATTGGAGAAGAATTTTGAACCAAATCCATTTTAATGCAAAAATTAAATTGACAAAATTTTAGTGTTTACTGCCTTCACCTTAGCAACTACCCAGCACACATGCCATGATTTTCACTTTATGCGCTACCTCTACCGACGCGACGTCTCGGATAAAATTTTTGTTTTCATGAATTTTTGGTTAGTAAGCGGAGAAAGATAAGCGGCTTGGTGGTCTAGTGGTCAGAATACCTGCCCGGCAAGCAGGGAGGCGTGTATTCGATTCCTACCGAGACAGCAACATTTTTCTTCGCTTACCTTCAAACTAATTTACGAGAATTGCAATATTTATACTGTGATAACCCAAACTTCCCGTCTTTAAATTGACCTTGAAAAAGTTTGAAAGGCCCGCGAAAATTTCAAAAATTAAAAAAAAAGCCTTGGTTGTGATCGTCTAACAAATAGGAACCTACGTTGTGTGTTTTTTTTGGGGGGGGTTTGAAAAATGGCGGGAAGACGTTCTTTCATACAAGTGTGCATATGCTGCACGTGATTCAAGAGCGCAAGAAATAATAGACAAAATTGTTTTGGAGGGGGAGCACGGCACCCCCTCGCAGGAGGAAAGGGCTGCGAAGATTTACTCCTCAGCGCAAAAACCCCCTTGTTATTATTCCCGGACATATTACATTTCAAACACCTTAAGATATATGAAAAAAGGACACTCGCGAATTGACAAACATACACATATGAAAAATGGACAAACGCAAAATTCTATACATCTGTTTGGAGTCACTGCAAATATTTGAATATCACAAATTTAATAAAACAAAGCAAAAACTGAATCAAGTAACTGAATGCAAATACACAAGTTGTTACGGGCGTGTGGCGGCAGATTTTAAGGTTATGGCAGTTAACAGGAGCACAACAAAACTACCCCTGGGGCGTTGTAACATAAGCGGAGTTTGGGGCTACCGATCTAGGGCTGTTCTCCCCCCACGACGGTGATTGATATTAGCAACCTTGTGTGAAGAATTAAGAAGTGTTATAATGTAACACTTACGTATATGCATCCAGAAACCTATTCGTAATTAAACAACAAGGTGTTTTCCTGACTAAATGAATTTCATGAAATCTTCTAGCACGTGATTTATTTAAATAATCCTGATTGTTAAATTGTGTTTGCACTAGCTGACGATTAAGAAAAACTAACTTGATTGGTGAATTTAAAAACAATAAACCAAATTTACAGCACGTGTTTCGCGTTGAACAGAAGTCCGCAATTTTTCGATTAAAAAGGCCGCAAAGATTAACCGCGCGGGTTGGGGTCAACAGAGTGACGTCGATTACGATTGATTGTCGTTAAAGAAAGGCGTCCTCCCATTTTATTAATTATCAAACCAACTAATTTAAACTAGCTCTTACCACGTGATTACACTCACACAAGCACATTCAGATTGACGCTCCGCCATGTAGTGTTCTGTCTCTACCAACCCTCTAACTAAAATCCCCTAGCGCTAATAATTGTCCGACTATCCAGCAAGCGTTAACGTGCACCTGGTTGCCTATATTTAACGATTTATGAGTTAAATTTTTTTCTTTTTCAAATTCAAATTATTCAAATGTGATTTCGGGCCGCTGTTAATTAATTTCAGTGCGAAAATTTTGATTTAAATTCGGTCACCACAACGTATTTCGTTATTTGTATTGAAAACAATTAAAGTGTATCAAGTTTCACGTAATGATGTAAATTTACAGTAGACATATTGGTCGTATACAAATTTTATCACCCCTTTTTCACCGCCTTAGGGCATGAATTTGGAAAAATCCCTTCTTAAACGATGCCTCCACCATAAAATGAACATTCTCTCCAAACTTCAACTTTCTAGCATTAGCGGTTTGGGCTGGGCGTTTATAGGTCAGTTGGGACATTGCCTTTTATTATAAAGATTGTAAATTGTGGAGATACGAGGGAAGTTCTGTCGAAACAACTTTCGACCAATTTTTTTTATAATTGTAACTCATTTAGGGTGTACAAATAAATAAGGGTGGCCGATTTTCAACTGAAATTTGGACTTTCTTTTTAGGGACTTTGCGGCCAACCCTTTCGTCTAAATAATAGTGAATTAAAAATAGTGAAACCAGTGAGTGACTCCGCGTCCTCGAGCAGCGAAAAGGGAAGTTTCGAAAGGTAAGAGAATTCCCATTTTTCTGTGAAATGTGATTAGTACTTCTCAGCTAGAAGACCAGATAAATTCAGGCTACCCAATTTAATATAATTTAAGATAATTTAATTTTTCTAAACTAAATATTATTTTTATAACTCACGCCCCAGCCTTGCTAGGCCGGTTACATAAGATTAACACTACCAAGACACCCAATTTCTTGACGAGATAGTCCATAACAAGCTCCATGTAATACATCCTTACAGATATCACAATGTACTTTGTCCTCTTCTTGAACAACACTGTTACATGTATTACAAACTGGTAGAGGTATTATGAGTTACTGTATATCACTTCAATTAAGAATTTGATTAAACCTGTGTACACTGATTTTTTTTTTACAAATTATCAAATTCTTTCTCAACAATTTTTGAGCTCCGTCGTCACATGCAGTTTCCTTAAATGGGATGGTGGACTTTGTCAGATTCCTTGTAATAGATAAGAGAAGATGATGGGTTTAATAAACAAAAGCCGTCACAAACACAATTAATCTCTAATCATTAAAATGCATTATGAAATATTACACCAAATAATAATTTAAAAAGTAATTGAGGATATTTCGCAATATTTTATCTCAATTGTAATCTAACTGAGTCAATCACATATTAAATATAAGTTGCTATCGTTATCCTAGTTTTCATAAAGAATCTCCACGACTTTGCACACACAAAACTATAGTATCGAATTGTAAGTGCCAAGTTTCACAGTCAACTTTCCAAAAAATGATGTGAAAAGAAACTCTAAATTTTGAAATAATCGGGATCCCAGCATGTCAAATGTAAGTACCGAATAAAATAAAAAACAATTTATTATTTTTAATTTATTTAAAAGTTAATTTCGGCTAGTTTAATTCAAATGCAAAAAAAAAACATTTAACACCTCTCAAATATTAAACGATAAATTTTTCTCAGAATTGTCAGAATATTCGTACTATGAAAACGTTTGGTGATCTGCTCGATAGATTTACATAAAAGACAAACAAATTAAACAATATGACGGTAATAATCGAGTTAACAGTGAAGAAATGTATATATGTAATTATTTTAGACAAATATAGTATGTAGAAGTAAAAAAAAATATAACACAAGATTGTTCGTCAAATATTACGTAGAAGAACAGATGACACTACATTTTAGCTAAAAAAAATCATGTAGAGTTGGGGCCAAAAAATCTTGGACGTCATTTTTCTGTCATGTTGAAAATTTTGATGTAGTTCATGCCTATTGTCACTTTGACGCTTGAAGTTTAAAAATATGGAACACCTACATACTTCTAAAGCTGAAAAGCGACTGCCCGACACATATTATCAATAGTCATGGTTGCATTTTTTTTTTAATTCGTAACCTGATTACTAATAAAACAAATATTTATGACTTCTTATCAGACGTCATATATCAAAAACATTAACGAAAACATCCTTATCTTGCTTAAGGATTTAACATGATATTAAAAAATACATTTCTAGCGTTAACTCGTACAAATGTATGTACTCGCATTATAAATACGTATAGTAAAAAAATATTGAGCAGATATTTTTTCAGACAACCCCCTATGAAACTTGCCATATCGATGCAACAACCTACTCATAACAACCTACGAAACTGAAAAAAAAAATGTGCTACATTCTTTTTACGATGATTTAATATGTTTTTCTTTCCACCAGTTCATACATTAGTATTAAGCAAAATCGGATACATATCTCGACATTTTGAAGATCATACAATTTGCTTATGTGAGCAACCTGACTTAACGTTCCAATTAAAAATATACAGCAGTCAGTCGTTTTTGATTTAATTTATCACTAAAAACTTTCAAATTTAAATGATCACTTATGATCCTAGAAATAGTATCATCTATTAGTACCTCCATTAATGTATAGTATACACGATGTGTTTAAAAAAAGCTAGATCTCTTATTTTTATACAAAAAGAGTAAACCCAATTCCTACTTCCTATGTAACGTGTAACCAATCATTACAAAAGAGAGAAATTGTTAAAGATCTTGGTGTTACCTTTGATCCGGAGTTATCTTTTATTGAGCACATCAATAACATATGTTTGACTTCTTCCAAGATTTTGGGATGTATATACCGAACAACTATTGACTTTACGAACCCTTGTTTAATTAAAACTCTTTATTTTGCATTTATAGCCAGTAAACTGGAGTATGCTTCAATTGTATGGTACCCAATTTATGTTACACACCAGTTCGCAATTGAAAAAATTCAACGTCGCTTCTTGTAATTTTTGACTTTTAGGTGTGAGGGTATTTATCCAGAACGAAATGTTGATCATAATATGTTGATGCAAAGACATGTGGTCCTGATCTCTTGTCGTCCTTAAATTTCTCTATCCCACAGATTGCAACTCATCATATGTCTACGCTTGATTTTCCAACTCCTAACGCCAATATTCTTTGGAAAGCTTCCATTACTCACATGTCTAGAAATGCTAACAAAGAATATGATGATATTTTTGCTATTACGTTGTAGTTTGCAATTTCAACTTGTTTATTCTTTACTTTTGTTATAAATTATTAATAACAATTGAGTTTAGATTTAGATCTAGTACCTATTTTTGTTTGTTGTATTTATTTGTATCTGTTTTATATTAAATGTTACATTTTATTTTGTCTATAATTGGTGTCTGTTGGGCAAATAAATTCTATTATTATTATTATTATTATTATTAAGACACTAATCATAAAATCAAACACCGTTAAAAAAACAGAATATAGGCATAGCAATTAAAATTATTTACATCTTACGAATATTATTATAACTTTATAAGGTTAACACCAAAACCATACAAATACCACTGAAATCACTATACAAACATCACTTACATTAGTGTTTATTTGTTTTCAGAGTTATTGTAAACGACCGGGAACTACAGACTTCGGGAAAGAATATGAAGAACTAAACGTAGCAAACATAATCTTCAAAGCTGTAACCCATAAAGACATAGAAGATTTTACATTGTCAACAGACGATAGTGACTTCGGGAGTTTTGACGATATAGTTTTCGAAGTTACTGGCAATGAGATTAACCAGAAATATGCTATCCAGTTGAAACATGTAAACAAAAATGAAAGAACATTAAATCCAATAAGTTTGACACAAGATACCGGAAATTACGCAATTGTCAAGTATTTTCAGTCTTACAAAAAAATATACGAACTTGGTCATCGTCACAAATTAATATTGTTCACAAACCTTAAATTCAATAGTCGAAATGGGGGGACAATCACTTTTGAGAAACAACAGTTTACTACAAGACTATCAAAAATGCCAACCATTGATGAATTAGTTAATAGTTCCGGAGCTTCTGGCAGCTGCTACAAATTTACAAACATTCAAAGTACGGTTTCCGTTCCACTTTCCAAAGAGCAACAAGAATATAAAGATTTTTTTCAAAACTTCTATTTGTACACCGACCAAGCGAATGTGTTTCAAATGAAACAAAACGTGTCCAATCGATTTCAAAAAGCCTTTTCTTGTAGCGATTCTGCGTTCGATCGTTATCTGCAGTTCATATCAAACTGGACCAAACTACAGGATGAAAAAGTGAAGTTGAATAAAAGTCAGATGAAAAGAGTAATAACGTTTCGCGTGCTGTCTCACCTGATTAAGCCACTTTCTTTCAAACCAGTCAATAAGAAAATCCAAATGCTTCAAAACGCAATTTCTGAATTTGATGTTACCATTTTTGAAAAAGAATCTGAACTTCTTGTTTGTGAGATCTGGGGTGATAAAAAATGTGAACTTGAAAATAAATTGGAGACTATTAACGAACTGATAACTGCATATCAACTCGAGCTTAACGATGTCAAAAAGGTCGGTGATTTAAGTGACAAAAGCTGTAGCCAGTTGCTGTGGCTGCTGAACATTTGCCCACTAATTGTATCAGTAAGTTCTTCTACATATGAAATAATCCAACTGTGTCATCAAGACAAATTCGTTCTGCTTGGAAATCACACAGAAGATCAAATAAGTGGTCGTTTAGTCTTCCAAAACTTATCCGACCTATTTTTTAAATCCGAGATACATTACCAAAACATTACAACTGCCTTTGAATATTCACTTCAAGGAAAAGAAGAACTGCCTCTGCAATGCTTAATTAAAGAAAATGAAGACTTTCGAAAAGGTATAACAACAGATGACTTAGTAAAAATGTTGGAAGACACTTATTTCGTTGGAGGAAAGCAGGAATCTTTTGATTTTCCATATATTAATAGATTTCTCACAGTAAATATTATTGACTTTGAATATTTAAAGAAAATTGACAAGGATACAATTGTAGTTATTGACTGTCTACCCAAGGGTTATCAAACTTACGAATGGCTACGCAACTTTAACTTGATAGAGGTCGAGGGATCTTCGCAAAAACAACCTCTTGACAGAAATGTTGAATTGACAAATTCAGCATTTAAACCAGACCTGTATGTTACAGAAGGCGTATGTACCGAAAAAAGATTCAAAGCAATTTCCAAAGTCAACGTTACGAAACAACATCACCTTCGTCTCAACAATGATGGGAAGTTGCAATGGATACGTAGCTTAAGCGATGTTGAGGAACTAGAACCATTTCTCACAGAAGGAGATCATGTGAAAGAAAACGAATTGTCTATTATCAAGAACAAAATCAATTTAATAGTCGGAGAACCAGGAATGGGAAAATCGGTGCTAATGAGAAGGTTAAAAAACAAATTTGATTCCAAGTATTTAGCAATTGTTTTCTACACGGAGGACATTTCTGCGTACTTAGATTTTAAAAACAAATACAGCACTACATCTTATATGCTAGAAGAATACGTCTTGAATGAAAAGTTCAAAAACATGGAGAGATTCGAAAATAAAATCTTGTCAATATTGATGCGAAAGAATAAGGTCATCTACATATGGGACGGACTAGATGAACTTTCCTCTCCAAATATCCAAGTTATTACTGACATTATTCGACATCTTTATCAGAAGAACGTTTATCAATGGCTGACCTGTAGGTTGCACCTAAAAAACTATTTGGAACACAAATTTAACGTTTTTTCTAAGACAATCATCCAGTTCAGTGAAGAACAACAATCTGCTTATATAGAGGAACGCATGAAAGACGCTAACCACACAGAAGAAAGTATAAAAAATACGATTCAAAAAATTAAAAAACTAATCATACACCATGAAATTTTAGGGATTCCTCTCCAGATTTTTATGCTTACGGAGTTATTTCTTAATTTTGGAAAAAATTAAAAAAGAACACGACCCGGTTGGAATTATTACAGAAGTGACTGTCGAAACTATCCCATACTTTATTCACAAATCGTTTGCTGAATATTTCGTGGCTACATATTTTGTGAAAAAGTACGAATCCAACAACTCAGCTGATATTTTTCGAGATATATTGTTTGAAACTACGAGTCGAAATATAAGATTTTTCTTTGATTTACTTCTGGCAAAGAATTCTCCAGCTTGTGCATTTGGCCACCACAACATTGTCGAGTTGCTGATCAAGTCTCGAGCTAATGTCAACACCAAAGATCGAAAAGACAAAACACCACTACACACAGCATGTGAAAATGGACATGACAAAACTGCGACACTGTTACTAAAAGCTGGAGCTAAAATTGCAGTTTACACCAAAAACAACGAAACTCCTCTACACCTTGCTGTCCGAAATGGTCACCAAAATGTAATATCGTTACTGAAATCGTTTGGCAAAAAGAACGTCTGTTGCGGAATAACATGGTAAGTATTTTCACAAAATAGAAATACGATTGACAAAATTTACTTTCAGATCGGGAGTACTATATTGAGAGAAAAATAAAGCCACGCCTTAAAAATCAAGTACCTGAGGTATCCCACTTTAGTTGCCTTTACATGAAGGCAACACTCGAACAGCCAGACGCTTTGATCAATGGGTAAATTGGAAAAAGAATTCGTTCATGAGCCGTTTTTGGACTCCTAATAAAAGAAGCTATTATGTATATTATATTTCAACTATATTTTTATTCTTCTTCTTTTTAAAAAAGCACGAATTCTTGAATCTTTTAACACCCGAAGCAAAAAGAGGGGTGTACAACTTTGACTCCTTTCTCTCTCTGAGTTTCAATGCGGTTTTTTTTGTTTGAAAGCTGCTCTAATTAGGATGGTTCTTAACTATGTACAACGATGATCACTTTAACCATGTTTCATTACTTTCATGCATCAATTTAAAAGCCAATTTCAAAAAAGTGGTATTCTGAAATCTCAAAGGTAATGAAAAATATTTATTTCCAAGACAGAGCGGTTAACAGACGATTTTATTGAAAATGTAGTTTCACGACTTTTTCTTACCTTAAAAGCTCTGAATAATTGTGGTGCCTAAAATACTATACACTTTTTATCAATCGGGCTCTGTGGATGCAAATTTAAATAAATTACATTGTAATATGTTTCTTATTTATTAATGTTCACAGGTAAAAAATCAACAGCCTTGATAATTTGGACCTTTCATCGGAAATTAACGTGTGTCCAGGAATTACAAGGGTGTTTTTCCGTTAAGGGCTGAATATTATCAGGGGTTTTTGACCGATAAAGAATTGGTAGAAAAAACATTGAATATCGACCGAACATGGTTTTACGTCACAAAATATGTTGATTTGGAGAACTGAAATTCCACAAGTTTACGGAGACGCGCTCTGTATGCAGTTAAGGTTGGAATTTGGGTCACTTTTTTTAAGGTAGTGTAATTATATACTTTTTCAGGAACCATACAGCTGCACGATATCAACAAAAATTTTTACACCTTTAAAAATCAAATCCATGATGTTGATGATGAATTGACGATGGAGTATTTACAACAAGATACTGCCACAGCACATGCAACTGGAACCACAATTGCTTAGTTACAAAGAGTTTTTTGCAAATCGTCTCATCAGTCGAAACACAGAAAGCTTTTTCCCCATCAAGGCCTTAACCTTAACCGGAAGATTTTTCCTGAGGCAATATCAGAAAAATTCAATTTACCATACCCCCATTGACAACATAGACGAATTACGGCAAAGGATTACTGCAAAATTTTACGAAATTAACTCAAATCCTTACATTCTACAAATATCCAATCCAACGAATGGCCACTGTCATGTTTTCTCGTCATGTCGACCGAAGAAGTTGATCTCGCCTTTTCTGCACTTGTGGTTTATGAATTCGTGTTGAATTTTTACCTCAAAACTGTAAAACAATTTAATGTTGAAACTATAAAACCGAATACTCTGAAAGTCAAGTATTGTAAATCGTTCAAGAAAATTGATCTGTTTATTTACTCCCAAAAATTGGTGATGTAATCTTAAAATTTTGCCGAATAAATCCTATCAAATATGAAAGCAAAATATTATGTTTGTATACTTGTGGTTTATCATAGTTTTTAGAATTATTCATACAAGGTGACTCAAAAAAATCAATGAATGAGGCAGTTTATTTTATTGACCAAAGCAAGAACTGATTTGATCACGCCATGTTCCCGAAGATTCGAATATATAGTACTGTTATTATTATTAGTATTATATTACATCCATTCAAAATGATGTGTCCTTGCTAAAATGTTGATGATGTCATCACAAAATTTGGTTATGAAAAACTCACTTGATACATACCCATAGCATGATTCTTTGCCTGTATTTTAAACGTTAACAGTCCAAACATATCTTTACTGTAACTTAAAAGGAATTATCATAAAAACAATAAAATTCGCAAAACTTAATTTTATAATTTTTCGAAGAAGTTGTATTTATTGGTGTTTACATCAGGGGTGAGGAAAGTTTTGTCGAAATAACTTTATACCAATTTTTGCTTGCAGACATCATGTATGTATGTATAAATCCTATCTAAAATGTGTAAAATGTGGTCAGTCTGTACTTGTAATTTATCACTGCATTCATATTTTTTGGATTTGCTTATTCAGAGTGACTAAAAAAACTTAACGAATCAGTCAATTTATTGCCGAATAAATTCTACCCAAAATGTGCAAAATATGATGAGTTTTTACATGTGAATTATCATTGCGTTCATATTTTTTAGATTAGCTTAAACAAGTGGCTCAAAAAAAATTATGAATGAGACAATTTATTTTATTGATTAAATTAGGAACGGAACACTCCATTTTCCCAGAAAATTTTGGAAATACAATATTGTTATTTTTAGTTTTACACTGCACCAATCCAAGTTGATATACGTGTCCTTGCAAAAATGTTGATCACAAAATTGTGTAAAGAAAAAACTCGACTTGAAAAAGCTGGATATGTTTCATTATCATGAGTTCGGCTGGCGTGGTGTGTGATGTGAGTTCGTTCTAACAGATTGGTTTTATAGTGGTTTTTTAGTGAAACTATTCTCAATTTTTGGTTCATTGTACAGGAATAGAGTATTTGATCCCTTTGGGGGATTGGTGACTCCGTAACTTGAAGGGTTTGTGGTTAAATTAGCAAAGATTGTCAGGTTTATTATCTGTACTGGCCTCGTAGTGTATTTTGAACACTTGTTCTTATGCTTTCTGCATAGTAGGTCGGCGTTGATTTGTGTTTCTTTATATTCTCTAGTTGCTTCGCAATATTTGGCTGTTTACAAATTATCAGCAAAAAAAAGTGTCACAAATGTTATCGTACAATCGGGTGTACCGATAACTACATTTCCTGTAAAGATTGTTCTCATAATTATCACATTTCATGCGCTGGTGTATCAGATATAGAATTTGATAGGAGTTTGCATTAAATCTGGTGATACAATTTCTTTGGATACGCAAGGTTGGTGCCTCTCCACTAACCAGTTTAGAGAATTAGTGGCAGGCATTGTTAAAACTGAACTGCTGCCTTTCGTGGACAAAATTTGTTAGTTATATAAGGCACGAGGAACGAAAACACGAACAACAGTTAACACATTTATTATACAAAGACAAGTAAATATACATTACAGTGAACTTAGACACACGCGCGCGGACCACCGACCAGCCATTCGTGTGACGTTCGTCTTCGTCATGGCTACGTCATCGCTGGTGCAGTCGCGCAGACTACCGCCGAACACGCACTCCATCTATGTTTCCTAACAAAATTGATATTTTACACACAGAAATTCGTAATCTATGCTTGGAGAATTCTCAACTACGCAATGAAGCCGTAAAATTAACCAAAGATTCGCATTCTCGTCCAATTACCGAAAATAATTTAACACCTATTGATAGCACCACTTAAACGTCTTATGCTGAGTCTATTGCTAAAAATTCACAACAAACTATTATTATCAAACCAAAGAATAATCTCTGTCACAACTGAATTATATAATCAGCGAGTTCTACTAATTGGGGATTTTAATATCTCTAATTATCAATTTAATTCATCTGGCTTTACAACGGGTAATAGCCCTCTGTCTTCTTTATATAACTTTTTACATTTTTGTGATTATCGACAGTTTAACAATATGCTAATGGGCGGTGTCTAGATTTAGTGATTTCAGGATTTCACTGTTTAGTTGAAAATGCTTCTGATTCTTTCATTAAAAGGATCTTCATCATCCATCCCTTTTAATCACTATAAAGCGGCAGAAACCAAGACATAAATCGATAATTAATAATAGATCTGCTCATAAACAGTGGAACTTTCGAAAAGCTAATTATCCTGGTTTAGCTGGGATAGATTTCGTTGCAAAACATTTTGAAATTCGGTAATAAGCTCTGTTTTTAGTTGATACATGTTTGTATTTACGTCTGTTGTCATCGGTTCCATGTCGGACTTCACAGCGGTTCTCATCTGTTCCACTTGGGACTTCAATGTCCCAATGTCTGCCTTCAATTAATTTAGATTAGTTGTTAATAGATTTTCTAATTTAGAAAACGAAGTAAATAATGTTTGTTTTCTTTTTGTTTCTATGAGTTGCATCACTGTGTCATCCCACTGTTGCTCGAAATAAGATGATAAATTAATTGTATCTGAGTTCGCTATCGTCTCGGTCGGTTCAGCTGGTTCAGTAGGTTCTTTAGATTCGGAAAGCTACGCCGCCTGACCTCGTCATGTTGTTTGTTTCTTGTCGATCTTCTTGATGCAACACTTCAGGTTGATGTGGTTTACACTAATTATTCTAAAGCTTTTGACAAATTTAATCATAATATTCTGTTACCAAAATTGTTTAACTTTGGCTTTTCTGATTCTCTCATTAAATTAATAGGTTCTTATTTGTGTAGTAGACTACAGCGCGTCAAATATCAAGCTCATGAGTCGATAATA